CTTTAGGAACACAGGCTTGCTTGTTCATTCATTCAGCACATATGTTATTCATTGGCTATTTAGAGAATAACTTCTATGTCTGTTTTCAATAGTACCTCACCCTCTACTTAGAGTACTAAAATGTAAACAGATGATTAAATAACAGTTRTTTAATAGTAAGGGTTATAATTGTTATGAAAAAACAAGAGAAGAAATAGAATAATGATAAATGTTCAGATGTCTTTGTGCTTTGTTTTTATGGAATAAGTTAGTTAAGTAAACTTCTATATGGTTAATTAAGTTAAAAATAAACAACTTTTTTTTTTTAATGACCAGAAATTCTTTCTTTCTTTTTTTTTTTATACCAGCATACACAAATTTGAATTTGCTTTTTTATGATACTGGTACCTAAAAATCTGAGTCTGTTTAAAAGCAGAGAATTTTACTTTTTATAAATGTTTTCTTTCTTTTTTTGCTGGTACTAGGGATTGAACCCAGGAGTGCTTAACCACTGAGCTATAGCTCCAAAACCCCTTTTTATTTTATTATTTTGAGGCAGAATCTCATTAAGTTGTCTAGGCTATTGTTGAACTTGTGATTCTCCTGTCTTATGTTTTCTATATAGTGTGCATGCGGAAATCATGCAAAAGCTCCTGCAGCATGTACACATGGGAAAATCCACTTATGATTTCTTATATATAGTGTGTTGTTTTTCCTCTGCCCACCATTTGGGGGACAAATGGTACAACTTTTTCTTCTAATATTTTGCTTATATTTTTTTCCTACTCATAGATAACTCATAAACCCAACTCCAATATTCACATTCTGATAAGTTGTTGCCAGGAATACCAATAATGTAAAAAGTTTTAAATCCCTTATTATGTTTTAGTAAAATATATAATTTCCTTTTATTTTCCTTTCTTTAGTTAAGTTAGCATTCCCTTCTTCACCCTTCCCCCCCTTTAGAGTTCTGAGACTCTTTTGTAGATCATTAGGCAATTTCTAATTATTTGCTTTATCATCTGTTAGGGACTATTGATTTGACAATTTAAAATTGTTCCTTGAGGACTCTTTATCAGTATTCTGAGATGTTCATATATTGCTCTCAGAAGGTGTCTGTAATCTAATTTTTCTTTTTTTTCCTTTTTTTTATTGGTTGTTCACAACATTACAAAGCTCTTGACATATCATATTTCATACATTAGACTGAAGTGGGTTATGAACTCCCAATTTTACCCCAAATGCAGATTGCAGAATCACGTCGGTTACACATCCACAATTTTACATAATGCCCTATTAGTAATTGTTGTATTCTGCTACCTTTCCTATCCCCTACTATCCCCCTCTCTAATTTTTCTTATTGTTAGGAAATATTCATAAAAAACAATGACTTTCTTTTTCTTTATATAATCTCAATGCTTTTGTATAATTCACAGGGTAGAATATTAAATGTGTATTTTATTTGATATCATAACTCATATTGGTTCTTTTTTTTCCTTTTTGAAAGAAACTTGTTTAATAACTTCAAAATATTTTATTTTGGATATCCTTGTTGATCTAGTACCACATTACCAAGACCTGGCTCTTATAGGGTGACAGCATGGTTAAATTATTATTTAGTTTCTTTTTCATAGTGATAGAAAACTTTGAAAACCCAAACCACAAACCTCAAATTACTCTTAAAAAGTGGTAAAATTATTGTTTCATATGTTTATGCCCTCATCTGAATTTGAGTCTTTAGGAAAAAATGAACAAACTTTAAAAATCTCAAGTTGATTGCTTTATTTTTCCTAATATAATTTTGTGGTATGCCAAATAATGGGCTCCCAAAGATACCTATACTCTAATCCCTAGAAGTTGTAAATATGTATCTTAAATAGCAAAAGGAATTTTGCGGATGTGATTAAGGGCATGGACCTTTAGATGGTAAAACTTATCTGGATTACATGAGTCCTTAAAAGCACACCTTTATTAGCTAGGTTAGAGGATGGAGAAGGAAGAGAAATCAAAGTAAGAGCAGCTCAATTTGCTGTTACTGGCCTAAAGATCCAGGAAGGGAATCATAAACCAGGGAATGCAGGTGGCCGTTAGAAGGTACAAATGGTCAGTAAGGAAATAGGGACCTCAGGTTCTACATACAGCTGCAACAAAGTGAATTCTGCCAACAATCCACATGATCAAGGAAATGGACCCTGTCCAGAGCCTCCAGAAAGGAAGCCAGCCCTACCAACACCTTAATTTTAGCTCTTGTAGAACTATAAGACAATAAATATGTGCTCTTTTATGCCTCTAGGTCTGTGGTAATTTCTTACAGCAAATAATAGAACATGAATACTTTGTAACTGCAGTTCATGGCCAACCTAAACAATGAGTTATGTGAGTAGAAGGATTTCACTACTTTCTCACTGTTAACAAATTTCTCTCATTAGCTATTCTTTTGATTTAAGAAATTATCATTTCTTAAAATATAATAGTATCTCTGGAGTAATTTATTGTTCTTTCAGAATAAGTAAGTTGGTAAATTGGTAAGTAATTTGATTATCTAAGAGTAGATTTTAGATGAAAGAGTAAAAAAGGAAACAGTTTATGGTTAATCTGGGGAGGTGTCCCTTTCTGGGGAAAATTTTGACTAGCTATAGACTACTACTAAGGTTGTGGCTATTTGGGGAGATGCCAGTGATATTTGCCCACATTCAAAATCCAACTGGTCTGCCTCACAGTTTTTCAAGACTAACCTTCCTTTGTACAAAAATATATTTCTGAGTCTTTCAAAACAGCAATTGATTTATCATGTGTTGCTTAGTGTCTCAATTTTGCTGAGGCGGCTTTGATCCTCCTCAGCCTCTTACTTTTGATCATCTTACTTTTGCTGTAAGCCTTGTGAACCTGATAACGTAACTCCCAAGTTCCCACACTAAGCTCTCTTCAAATTAACTAATCACACTCTGTCTCAGAAAATCAGCTAGGTAATATCCTGGACCCCATTAAAAGCTTCTTCCTCTTTTTCTCTCTTCTTACCTGATGGTTGAGCACCTGAGTCCTAAATGGTACCTACCTTTGGTACTGAGAGGTGAGTTTCTTTCTTCTCTCATGGATCTATGAATAATTAACCTTATCTTCTCACATTCCTTCCAACTGTTCCTCCCTGTGCCAAACCTGACTATGCCAAACTTTATTTACATCCTTACTTAAATCACAACAGCACACAAAATCACTTCTGAAGTTTTCTTGTCAAGAAATTGAACCTGAATTTGATCAAAACTCTTAAATCTAAGTATCAATTTATATGAAATAAAGCTGACAGAAGAACATGTTAAATAACACCACGAGAATACAAATGGCAAAATCCAGATGTGGAAAACTTTTTAGAACAAATGATCAAGTTTCTGCAACAGCTAAAATCTGCAAGGCAAGAAATAATGTGGAAAATGGGACTTAGATGAAAACATATCTAAGAGATTTTTTTAAGCCAATCGCAGTGATTGTACCTTATTTGCATTTTGATTTAAACAAACTGAAAAAAACATAATTTAAAGTAAATACTTTAAAAATATGAATCTATGGTTTTAAAATACAAGTTAAGTTCTCTTCCATCTATGCTGTAGGAATTGACTAAATTGAAAATGAAAGATTTGGGTAAGCCGGCTTCAAAACCTTAAGTGGTATCAATACATCAAGTCTTATTTATCTCTGTCAACCACTTTTAATATTCATATAAAATAGTTGTGTGGTAGTATTTCATAATTCTTGTTTGTCAGACATATTATGGGTTAATTTATTTTTATTGCCAGAAGCAGATTATTTTTGTCTTTGAAATTCTCAGTCTTTACTTATTTTCTAAAAAGATATATTGAAATGTATATGTTCTTTTAAAAAAATATATTTGTAATTCCAGAAAAGAAAATTTCTAATATTTTGTACTGCTGATGAAGCAAAGCTTATAATTTATTCATTACCCCCTTAAGGTAATGTTTAAGCAGCATTTAGGGGTTCAAAAAGAGTGAAAAAGATGAAAAAAAATGTTAGTGAGTGGTAAAAGTCATTCACTATTTTATGTATGAATTTTTTATTAGGAATTTAAAGTTTTGTATTACAGTAGTATAAATTAGTGACTTTTTTTTCTGTTTTTTTCATTTCTCTCATATTTGTTTTTGGAGGGAGCCTATAGCTAATAATGARTGTTTCAAACCTCCCTGCTTTCCTTTGGTACAGGGATAGAAGCACACTACCACCGAGCCACACCCCCAATTCCTAATAATGCATATTTCTGCAAAAATAATAATGTAAAACAAAACAAAAACACCCAAAGCATCAATAACAGAATTCAAGACTTAAATTTGACTCTAGGTTATAAGGAAAGAAAACATGCATGTAAGTTTAGTCAAACAAATTAATCATCCTTTTTGCAAATATGTATGTTGCATCTGAAAAAGGCCTCTAGTACCATCTATCAATTTTTTTTTCCTTGCTGTCTTCTTGTATACATATGCAAGAATCCCTTTTGTCTTAGTTTATGCTTATTGATCTCTAGATTAGTTCTGAGAGGATAGATGTACTTCAACTTTCATGATTTAGAAGGTGTATCAGAGATGTTTTAGTGACATTTTGTGTTTAGTTTCAGTTTTTGCTGACATTCTTGAAATACTATAATCAGAAATTTTTAGATGTAGAGACTATAGAGAACTTTAAGATCTTACTTTGTTTTGTCCTACAGAATCTTTGYGTTTATTCTTTCAGTATTATTACTTGAAAGTAATCATATGAATGGAAATGGTATGTTTTTACAGTCCTTGAGAGATTTCATGTAATGTTTTATCATGTTTTTCTACTGACTACTTTTAAAATATATGTGTATCTTCTGTTCAGTATACTAGAATTTTATTAAGAAAACATTTCTAATGATTCCAGATAAAGATACATTCTTTTAAAAAATTATCTTAATATGTTAATGTGATCAGTTTTAAATTTTTACAAACATTTTTGTTTTGTTCAGTCAATTTTTCTTTCTTTTTTCCCTTCAGTGGTCTTATGCTTTAGAAAAACCCAACACTGGCAGCATATTTAATATTGCATGGTCAATTGATGGCACTCAGATTGCTGGAGCCTGCGGAAATGGGCATGTTGTTTTTGCACATGTAGTGGAGCAACGTTGGGAGTGGAAAAATTTTCAAATAACATTAACTAAAAGACGGACTATGCAGGTATGATTATGATCATAGGATGATTGAGCCTGCTTCTTTTCATATTAGTTCACTATGTATAATATAGAATTATCTTTGTTATATTTACTCAAAATTTATGAAAATTCAGGCACATTTGAACCATTTTAACTATGCCATTAGTTGGTCACCTTTTTATGATGATAAGAACCTTTCATTGAAAGAGAATCGAAATGGCTGTAGTTACTGTGGTTATAGATTTAGGACAGCTTTGTGGAATTTGAACCGTTTATGAAATATGTGAATTTAATTAAGAAAGAAGCTCTGACACATAGGAATAAGTTAAATTTAACTACTAGAACTGACTCTAAGGCAGGCCTAACTTGCTAGTTACCAATAGGAATAAATTATTTTATGTATTTATCCTAGGTACTAGGGATTGAACTGAGAGGAACTTTACTACTGGGCTATATCCCTAGTCTTTTTTTTTTTTTAGCTTTTGAGACAGTATCTTTCTAAGTTGCTGAGGTTGATCTCAAACCTGAGGTCCTCTTGCCTTAGTTTCCTGAGTTGCTGGGATTACTGGCTATTCTTATTCATAATTGAATGAATTTAATTAACCCGATTTTTAACAATTGCCTTTTAAGAATTACCTAAGGCAACTCAAAACTGGAAAATGGTGGGAAGTTCTTATTGGGAATTAGGAAGTGTGGGGCAGAAAAAAAATCTTTCCTCATCATTCTTGGTTTCATGGCTGAGGCCCCCATGACAAAGAACATGTTAACAAGAAAAAATAATTCAAATTTATATAATATACATTTTACATGATATGGGATCCCTCATAAGGAAAATAAGACCAGAAAAAAACAGTTAAATTGATATGCTTTCATTGTTAGGTTTGATGAAGAGTAGATAGTTGTAAAGGAATAATATGATAGAGCAAAAGTAATATACTTAATTGGGAACAAATGGGAAAGCTTAGCAAGGCCTGTTTGTTCAGATTCTTCTCTGAGTCTTTCTGTTTTTAGAGACAAGGGTATTCCTTTCCTCTGGAACGTGAAGGTCTTATAACCTGCTTTAGAGAAGTGTCAGAGTGACCTTTCTCCTCTTTCTGTTTTCTCAGATTCCTTCAGCTTGAGATATTCAATGTGCTATGGTTTCCTGTTTTGGGATTAGTATTTAATTTTAATTGAAATGCTTTATAAGATTGATACCGAGAGTTTGGAATGTGTCAATGGGTGATTATCTACTCTGTTGTGAGCTTCTTACAGTAAGACATATGTACTATATTTCTCTCAGTTTTGTCTTTGTCTAGGGGCTCCACTAGCCTAGGCTTGCATATAAAAAGTGCTCAACAAATATATTATAATTAGTTGAAAAAAGGTGTTGGGAAGAGGCCAAAGACAATTTTGCCAGTGCAAATCTTCTGCCAAAGAAAGGGAGATTCTTCTTCCTATTATATATATCATATATGTTTATCTTCAGTATTTATAATTCATATAGTAATTGCTATAAAAATTTGGAAACATGTAGTTTGTAATTTCATGATCAGTTCTGTTCAAATATTTTATTTTCCCCAATCTCCAGATTTTTAAAATTTGGATATGTTCACAAGATTTATAATAATTAGGTTAATTATAATTTTTCTAAGGTCTGTTTACTTATTTTAAATTTAAAAAAAATTTATTTGAAGAATTTAAACCATACACAGAGTAGTGGTACAAATCTCTATATATTCATTACCTAGCTCTAGTAATCAATCACATCCATATCAACACTCATTTCTTCATTTATTTTCAAGTAAATTCAGACATCATATTTCATCTGAAAAGTTCAATTATACAGCTAATATATAAGGACTCTTTAACATAACCAAAATAGCATTTTCATACTTTAAAAATAATTCCTGTACCTCAGTTGGTACAGTGCTTGCCTCACATGCATAAGGCCCTAGGTTTGATCCCCGGCACCACACACACGCACATACACACACTCACACAAAATTCCTAATATTATCAAATATCCATGAATTGTTCAAATTTTAAGTTGTCTCTTACCTGTTGCAGTTTTGTTATTATTATTGTTTTGTTCCAGTACCAGGTTCAAAATCCAGGGTTTTGCACGTGCTACATCAGCCCCTGCAAGATATATGGTTTAATATGCTTCTCAGTCTTTAACTTTTTCTACAAATAGTTGGATCTAGATGATGATGTAAATTTATATTTCAGTCATTTAACTTGAGAATCAAAACATTATATGTTGTAGTGGACCTGTGACAAAGAATACATTGTGAATTCTAATTAACTGATTTGGAATGTAATTATTATATTTATRCAGTACATGGGAACTATCTAATATAGTATTACTCAAAATAAGGACTAGTCTTAATTACAAAAATGCCCTAAGATGAATATATCTAGAAAGACGAGTTTTCTTTCAAAACAAAAAGGAATCATCCTAGTAATAGAGGATTTTTATCTGAGGTAAGATGAATCATGAAGTTTTTAAATGGCTTATTTAATTCAAACTATCTTGGACCTAATATTTGTAAATAATTTTTCAAAGTTTTATAACCAGAAACTTTATTTTAAAAGGGAAATGTATGCTTTCTTGGTTTTTAAACATTTGGTTGCATTTCAACTAAATTGGACCTACACAGTGTTTTTACACAGAACATTTTCCTTTACTCATTCAATAGAGGTTTATTGAGTGATACCTACTTGCCAGGCATTAAGCTAACTAATAAGGAATGTAGTCATGAATAGAACAAATTTTGTCCCTCTTCTCATGGACCTCCTAGGTTGATATCTTGAAAATCTTTTTTCCCCCCCATAAATTCAACTCAAATTAACCTAATGTGAGAAGGGAAGGAAAAAAATTACTGGCTTATGCAAAGTCAATTCACAGGCTGACTTGAGGCATTGGTTCAGGTTTAAATTAGGTGTAAATAACTTTATCACTTTGTCTCTCCTTTTCTCTGTAATTGGCTTGTTTTTCAGAAAGGCTTTCTCCATTTTGTGACTTTGGTAGCTCTAGGTGTACATTCTATTAACTGCAAGTCCAGCAGAAAGTACTTCTCTTCTTAGTAATTCCATCTGAAGTCTCAGCATTTTTGTCTCATGTCCTAAGTCTGGGTTTAATGTATTTGATTAAGGGAGACGGGGAAGATGAGTGAACTCATCTGAGCTACTTATTTATTCACTGAGATTAGTGGAATTGTTCCTCAAAGGACAATCAAGGCATATTTATCAGAAAAGATATGATTTGATTTTGGGCAGACAAAATAGATATCCACTTATTTCTTTCCTTTGATTGTTTAGCAGCCATACTGTATTATTTATTTATTGTTACCTGTGGCTTGAAACAGCAACATTTATTATCTCTCAGTTTTTGTTAGTGAAGAATCCAGGCTTGCTTTAGCTAGCTTCTCTGGCTCAAAAATCTCTTAAGGCTGCAATAACGGTGGTAGGCAGGGCTAAAGGCTCAAAGAGGGAAAATTTGCTTTCAAGCTCATTGACACTATTATTGGCAGAATTCAGTTCAGCAGTGTCTTTTGGACCAAAGGTTTCAGATTTCTCTTAGTTCCTTATAGTGTGTTTTTTTCCGTAGGGTATTTTGCAACTTGGTAGTTTACTTTATCAGAGCAAGTAAGTGTGAAGAGCCAGACAGCAAGCATTAAGACATTAAGTCATAATTTTTATTTTATTTCCATAGGGACTGAACAATCACAGCTTTTCACTTGTAGGGTGTAAAATTTTACAGTATTCTCAGAAGCTTAGTAGGATTTTGGTTGACCTGTGTTTTATTAACTCAGAAACCAGAGATCTTATTCTTTTTTGTTATTGTTCTTTTTAGATATACATGACAGTAGAGTGTATTTTTACATATTATACATACATGGAGTATAACCTCCCATTCTTGTGGTTGTACATGATATAGAGTTACACTAGTTGTGTATCCACGTATGAACATAGGAAAGTTATATCCAATTTATTCTACTTTCTGTACTATTCCCATTCCCACTTCCCTTCATTACCCTTTGTCTAATTCATTGAACTTCTGTTCTTTCCTCACCCAATTGTATGTTAACATCTGCATATCAGAGAGAACATTCAGCCTTTGGTTTTTTTGGGATTGGCTTATTTCACTTAGCATGATAGTCTCCAGATCCTTTACCAACAAATGACATAATTTCATTCTTCTTTATGACTGAGTAAAATCCATTGTGTATATATACCACATTTTTTTTATCTACTTATCTATTGAAGGACACCTAGGTTAGTTCTGTTAGCTTAGCTATTATAAATTGAGCTGTTATAAAATTGATGTGGCTGTGTCACTATAGTATGCTGATTTTAAGTTCTTTGGGTATATATGGAGGAGTGGATAACTGGATCAAATGATGGTTCCATTCCAAGTTTTCTGAATAATCTCCATACTATTTTCCAGAGTGGTTGCACCAATTTGCAGCCCCACAAGCAATGTATGAGTGTATCTTTCTCCCCACATCCTCACCATCATGTTGAGTTTTGATTGTTAAATGTAGACCTCGACCTGGCAGTTGCTGTTTCCCAATAATAGGATTCATTGCCCTTCCTCTCTCCCTCGAGCTCAGCTTTTGTGGATACCATATTCTGGAATAAGACGGTTTCTTAATCTGCTCCTTAGCTCCAGGATGCATCCTAGTAGATAATTCTTTCCAAAAGACTTAGTTGATGACTTTGTTAGGATGAAGTGCCTAAAGGGGAAACGGTGCTGAGAGAGAGGATAAGGTGTTTCTAGTATCTCAAGCTTATCTTTGTTTCTTTGTTGTCCTTCTGACTTTAGCATGGGGTATAGATTTGGCTTTGTAAAACAACAAAAAAATTGTAGTTGTAGATGGACAGTATGCCTTTATTTTATTTGTGTATTTTTAATGTGGTGCTGGGAATCTAACCCAGTACCTCACACATGCAAGGCAAGAGCTTTGCCACTGAGCTACAGCCCCAGCCCTAGATTTGGCTTTTAATAGTTGCCAAAGTTCAAGATTATCTGACTCTTAG